TTCTATTTAAAAAAGAAAAAAAAAAGCATTTAGACACACTTTCAAATTGACTGACCAACCCATTCTTTTTTGACAAAGCGGAGCAGGGCTGCTAGTCTGATGGCGGAAGCCCATTTGGATATGTATATAATATCATGCACAATAGAATTTTTAAATAATTTAATTAAAAAATATTGTGAGTACGATATAGAATGTAATTTTATATAAAATTAAGTATTTTTGATGATAGTATTGAATTTAACCTTATGCGAAATAAATCGTTTTAATCTTAAGAGCATTCATATTGAACAATCGAGAATCATAATGGAGAGCGGAACCGTACTTGACGGATCATGTTGATTGATTGTTTTGGAATTGAATAGAGATTTTGAATTTGGGATTTTGAGTTTTTCCAAAAGACCATGAACCAGATAACTCCTCTCTTCTGAAGTATGAAGAAATTGAGCGTGGGTTGGGGGTTTCTTTTCGTATCTTTAATAAAGAATCCCAAGGACCCTTCTTTATTTTCACGACTTTTGGAGACTCCACTCATTAATTATTAGACCCAAATTTTTGTTATTCAAAGTCTTTAAGTTTAATATTATTATTTGTTACATCACCAAATAATAATATTACGGGTGTCCATATTTAATTATTCCACAATCTAAATTAAGTTACTTAAATATACAGTAATTTGATCACTTAATTTTGACTAAACAATATAATGATTCAATGTATCAATTACACATATTTAATCCCAAAATAAATCTAACATTTGAAAGTTACAACAAAATTTTTTTATATAAGATTATATTATTGTCTTAAAACTTTTTTTTCTATCAAATATAATTTAAGAGAAATGCTATAGATACATAATAATGTACACAGAGGTGCACATAACACTCACATCGAGTGGGTCCTACCAAAAATAAAAAATTAAGTGAACCCTACTCCATGTAATTGTTATGTACATATTTATGTACATTTATTATTTACTTGTAACATTTTTCATAATTTAATATCGTCTATTATTAGTATTGGTAGTGTCCTGGTAATAATAATGAAACTTTCATCAATCACTTTTGTCTTTAGCAAGCCATTGCAGTCCCATACAATTACAAGATGTATAAAATATTTATGGGAAAACTAAAGAAGTTTAATCCCATTTGACTTTTCCACTTAAATATACACGAAAACGATTTTGTTATGAAGTCAACAATTGGCTCTATAGTTGAGCCAACCTTCTATACACAACAAGTAAACTATATCATATTAATAAAATTATAATATTTATTTAAGTAATATGAAAATATAGTATAGTTTACTTGTTATATATAGAAGGTTGACTCCACTATGAAACCAACAGTTGGCTTCATAACAAAATTGTACACGAAGAATAAAAAATCGATTGTAAAATAATCTGTAAAATTCATGCCAATTATAGAGGACATCCTTTTTTTGTCTCATTGGCTGCTGTACTAGTCAAACATCGTTCCCATACATATTGTAACTGTCCTCTTTATCAATCACAATCCCACCAATATAGCAATTTACCTTCTAATTTCATACTCGTCATA